AAATGCCTACTGGGGTAAGAGCCTCCTAACAATAATCCGCAATTTTAACTACGCTATTTATTTTCACCTTTTTGTAGCTGAACAAAACACATGAGAAAACTGAAAAACAGGCATGTCTAAATTAACTCTTGGTTTTTCAGAATAGATTTATTTCTTCTGTGGGTATTAATATAATCCATCAGCATTGAATTGAAATGTTGAAGTTCTAGAACTGTGATTTGTTGTTTATCTTTTATCTGGAGCACTGATGAAGAGGAAATGTTGTTGCTAGCCATTTATGAATACCATCCACATATCTGGTAGATGGCAACCACCAAGTTCCCATAAGGGTAGCAGCCATCATTAATGCCCTAGTGGGATACCATGCTGACAATGGTATATAAGGTGTCCATTCCAACAAGGAACCTCATCGCTTTGACTTCAACACTGAAACACTCTAAATACGTCCTTAGGGAGTGTGCTCCATATGAGCATATACTCACAAAGCAAGCCTGAAAGAAATGAACCAGGTGGAACTCACTTCCAGGACCTATCCCAGCCCCAGTGTCTTGGGATTATCTCTCTTTTCTGATCCAGACACTCATGCTGTTTTCCAATCTGCTAGAGTATCTGCAATCTGTAGCTCTTATGATGCCACTTCCCTGGCAGCCTGCCCTCTCCAGCCAGTGCTCTGATTGAAAAGGTAAGCTGAAAAGGTCTGTTTTCAAAAATGTAATGATTCAGATTTGCTTGTTTGCTATGGCCTTCTGAAGTCAGTGTCTTAATATTTTTTAACCCATTTGTAATTGGAATGTGAGAATTTTAGACCATTCTGGAAAAGAAACACTGTATGGCAAAAACAAACAAACAAAAAGCAATGAAAGAAATGTCTAGGAACAGGCAGAGGCCCTACCTCTGGTCTCTTAAACAATCTGTCATCTAGTACTATCTAATCCACCTCAAAGAAAATCTTGGTACAATTCCTCATCTCCATCCCTTTTCAGATCTCTAAGTCAGGTTCTCATTGTCTTACTAGCATGGCTACAGTGACCCCTAGTTGGGCTTCCATCCTCTAATCCAACATACACACTGTCAACAGTCTGATCGTGTTGTTTCTATAGTCATCTAGATTAAGCCTTTAATGTGACATAAAAAACACTTCACTTTTAAGGGCCAGCAACTCTTTGACATCAGACTTATTCCCAAACCCTGCTCTCTAGCCATGATGCAAAGGTACCTATCCCTTTCAATAAAAGTCTTTACTCATTAATTTTCTTCTTTCTGACTAAGGAATTTCTACTCATTCTTTTAGGCCCAGTTCTAACGCCACCTCTCTGAGGAGACACCAGTTCCCTCATGATAGGGTTAGCTATTTTATTTAATATGTTTTCATCTTTTTTAAAAATGTTTGTAGCATTTGTCAGATTATTCTGTATCAATTTTTCACATGTCTTCCTAGATTAGTCTTTTGGGTTCTTGAAAACAGATACTAGTCTTGTTCAATTTTATATCATCAGCACAGGGCCTTGAAAATAATTATAAATGTTGAATGCCTTTTTTTAACAAGCAAAAGAACATATAAACATGCCATATAGGGATCCAGTGTTCTCTTTTTGTGTAGGATCAGCCTTTCACACAGTTAAGTATACTGGGCTAGAGAAGCTTGCCTGCCTTTCTTCCTTCCTTCCTTCCTTTCCCCTTCCATCCATGCCTTCATCATGCTGCCTGCCTTCATCAAGCATTTACAGAGTACCTTCTGTGTTCTTGGTTTATGTGAGATATGAGCCACATCAAAAATAATAAAACACTGTCTCTGCCCTAGAGGCACTCTCAATTTTAATGAGAAGAAAAAAGTAACAAAGTAATAATATAATTGGGGACCCAGTATCTTAATAGGAATCCCCTTCATGCTTACAACTGGGCCGTGGAAATGTCCTCTGCTCTCTAAAGACCAGCATTTGAGATGAGCCTTGAGTACAAATGATCACCTCCATATTGTGCCCTGACACATTAACAGGTGCAGGTGCTATTGGGGAGAACTTCTTCAGGATGTCTCTCAAACTGCTTTGGAGAATGGTATGTGATGTGGAGAATGAAAAAGACATTGATCTGAGGGTTGGGACCTCTGGGTTCTAGTTTTAGCCCTGCTACTAAACATCTATGACCTTGGGCAAATGATTCAATCTACAATCTATAGGATATCTTATCTGTAAATTGAGGGCACCGATCTAATTCTACTTCAATGCTTCTCTGCCAGGATCATAGGATTTAGAAATACATATACTTATTCTTCACCAAAGAGCCACTGGATTAGAACTAAGTCTCGTAGAATGAGACCAGGCCATGTTTATTTAGCAAAAAACTTCCTGATGATTCTGAGAGGCTCTGACCTGAGTTGTGTCTCCTCTTGATGTTTGGATAGCTGAGGTCTGGGGGCCTCTGTGTGGCAGCCCCCACATTGATTGAGACATGGAGACTCTAGGCCAACTCCAGTCTTTCTCCTTTAACAGTCTGTGAGAACAAGGAACATTGTTTCAAGAAACAATCAGATCAGTAGCTGACATCATAGGTCTTCCTGAAAGAGAGGAAAGAGATGCAGAACAGAGATAAGAATCAAAAAAATCCCAAATGCTTGTAGGACTCTGGTAATCACAGCCATCACCAAGACTATCCTCGGCTTCTTGAACTTTAAGATAGACCCAGTCATTCTGATGCCCTGACTCCCATATATTTATTCTCTGACTAAGGCACAAAGATGCGGGTGAGCTAATGCATCAACCCATGAAAAATGAACAATTAAAACAATGAAGTTGTCAGTTCTTTTACCAGATTGCAAATAAATAACCTGCTTGTCAGGCTGGCTGCTCTGCTAGACCATTAGTTTAATACAAAGACATTCTGAGGAACGGGTGGATGACAGCTGATCTATCACCAGGCCTTTGATAAAGACCTGAACAAAATATGCTGTCATACGCCATGGAAGGTCAATCCCAATTTGTGAGAAGCAAAGTATTAGATGAAATTTGAATAGCCCTCTCTGCCCATCATGAGAGCCATACGCTTTTCTTTTTACCCCGCAACCGGTGGGATTGTGGATGCTCGTTTTGACAGGATAAAACACTTTTTTGCTTATACTTATTTAGCTCGTCAGGGACACTGTGCTGGGGTAGATGGCCTTGGAGTTTGTAACTGTCACAGTGGAAAGACTGTGATCTTGGGACTGTGCTATGTATCTATTTGCCAGGCTAGACAGGGTCTTCCCACAAGAAGTTATTCTGTGTCATGTCAAATGCTCAGACAGTCATGAATTTCCAAACAAAAAGTCAACTCCTTGCATTTTCTTATATGTATGGCGTGAGTTCTGTATGCCATCTCATGAAATGTTTGCCAGCCAGATCTACTGCTTGCAGAAAATGATTAATTATAGCAGGTAGTAGATAGGACAATTAAATAAAGAAAACTCATTAAATTCTCTAGTCGATGTCTCATTTATCTTTAAATTTATGGGGGAAAGTAAAGATAGCAATCACCTTTTAGAAGTCACCTTTAAGAAGTTCTTATTTCTTCAAAGCAAGAAGTACTATTAGAACGTTTACCCTGTAGTAAATCTATGTGAGGTGTAGTGTTTATGAGTCGTCAGAGGTAACCAAATCGAAAATACCATTTTTCCCCTTTTCAGGATCTTTTGGGTATTTATGTATATTCAGTTTATAGCTTCATGATCAAAGTAATATAAATTCTACCTAACTGAAAAATAGGCACTGTTGATCCATTCTTATTTTTGAGTATATTCACTGGTTAATTCGAACAGTAACGTGTAGCTTTAATATGGAGAATCTGCTTAAATCCATGTAGATATCACCCTGCAGAGGTTTTGTGGTCATTCGGTTGCCCAGAATAATTTCAGCTAGAAAGAACCACAGTACTTCCAAACTGGTTTGACCAGTTCTTCCAGTGCTCTCGATGGCTAATTAGTAAACAAGATAAAGGAGAAATTTCCAGTGTAAAATTTTCCAGGCTGATTTTCGTAACTAATAAGTTAAACCACAACTTTGCCTGCTGACCAGCTTTGTAATCCCTTCAATGCTATATAGTATACAACACCCCTCTCACCTCCTAAGAAGACTTGAGAGAGTGGGAAATATCTTAGAGCTTATCCTAAGCATGCCATGGTTCTGTTCCCGGTTTTGCTATTTATTAGCCATGTTGTTTGGCCAAGTGGTCTAATGTCTATCTATCTTATTATGGGAATAATAACATTTGCTTAAAGGAGTACTTTATGCATAAAAACAAATACTGTTCTATAGATGGGTGGGGAGGACCCCTAAAGTTGCTTATTTTTAAGCACAGATAAAATGTTATTGCATAGGGTGCTAAGAAGAGCAAGAAGTTCATGATCTAGAAACTTCCACTGTGTTCTACAGTTAGTCCTTCATTTCTCTGAGTTTAGCCCTTGAGAAGTCTCTTCTTCCTGTCCCCCTAGATGTCTCTGGGTATCCAGCTTCCTTCCTAGGTTACTTCTAGGTCCTGATCTTTTCCAAAAAATCCCAAGTCAAAAGCAGTCCTTTGGAAAAAAAAAAAAAATATATATATATATATATAACAATAACCTGATGCACAACTCTTCATAGAAATCAATACAAATATCATATATATATATATGTCATAAATATATATATATGATATTTGTATTGATTTCTATGAAGAGTTGTGCATCAGGTTATTGTTATAAACATGACTCTTTATGATACCATGTTCTCTAAGGAATAAATCAGAAGCTACCTAAAACATCTGGAAATACAGACATTGTGGTAGTTTGAATAATGTCCTTTCAAAAATGTCCATGTTCTAATTCCTAGAATCTGTGAGTATGTTATCTTACATGGCAAAAAAGACCTTGCAGAAGTGATTAAATTAAGGATTTTGAGATAAGGAGATTTTCCTGGATTACATGGGTGGATTCAGTGCAATCACAAAGGTTCTTGTAAGAGGGAGACAGGCACTCAGAGAAAAGAGAAGCTATGCCGCTGGCCTGGAAGATGGAGGAAACGGCCAAAGCCAGGGAATGTAGGTAGCTTCTAAAGCTGGAAAAGACAAGGAAATAGACCCCAGCCCACAAGTCTCCAGAAAGAACGCAGCTCTGCCAACACCTTGATTTTAGACTTCTGACCTCCAGTACTGTGAGATTATAAATTTATATTTTTTTAAACCTCTGAATTGTGATAATTTATTATAGCAGCCATAGGGAACTAATATAGAAACACTTAAAATAAGGTAAGCCTGACCACTGTCTAATATACAGGCATACTATTGCCAACATCCTCTTTAGGAATAGTGTCAGGAACTCATATACACCTGGGTCTTTCCCTCTGAAATTTTTCCTTCTCCTTACTCTTTCTTTCCTCCCCTTCACTCTCCACTACATATACTCTCTAGTGTTTCAGATCTCTGTCAGTGATCTCTACAAAGAGAATATCTTGAACTAAACATCCCCCATTCTATACCTATTAGTCTAAAGTGGGAGTTATACTCTCTTATAGCACCCTGCTGCACTCTTATAATGTTTTTAAATTATATGTTTATTTGGTGGTTATTTTATTGTAATTATCTCCCTACCAATGCAAGCTTGATAGGTATAAGAATCATGTTTAGATTTGCTCACTGTTGTGAACCTGGCACATAGTAGATATCCAGAAAATATTTCTTGCTGAATGAGAATATTCCAGAATTCTGTCTGTCTTGTAAGATGGGTTGAAAGTATGGCCATAATGCAGTCCATCTGGGATCAGGAGGCAATAAACTAGTATATCATAATCTCTTTCAGACAACATGAGGCAGGCTTTACATGAACTTTGATTTCCTCTGAAATCTTAGTCAAAGTCATCATTTTTTCATAGGTGACAACTGACAGATTTTTTTCAAAATGAATATGTAATCTAAGAAATACAACAATATTTCTCAAAAATTATTTTGGGTAACATTCAGAATACTTTTTCTTGCTTTTATTTCCATCTTCATTTTATTGCTTTGCAGTATAAATTGTAAATTCCTTAGTGACATTTAAACACTCATTTGAGAACTGACTTCAAGAGCTTTAAGAGGTCAGTTTTGCCCAAGAAGATAATTTATATCTTCTGTGATTTTGATTCCTCTGAAGTTCAAGGATCAAAACAAAGGTTGTGCCTGAGCTCTTGGGATGGAGAAGTGATTAACATTTATGAATGGTGTTATGAAGCCTCAAAACATTGGAGAGTTAGTAAGAATATTGATAAATTTTACCTGTTTGTGTTTCAGAAACTTTGTCATGTGATTTTAATATTTAAAAAAAAAATTTCCCTTAAAAATAATTTTTCCTGAATGCAGATACATGTAAAAATGATCCCTAAATATTAGATATATTTTTCATAATTATTCTGAATGTATCTATCCATAGTGTTTGGCCAGAGATAGCACTTTTGTTGAACAGTTGAGTATGATTTTATATATAAGGGTTTCAATGGAAATGAAACAAATTTTATTGAGGCACCATGAAATTCCTCTATGTTTCTATGTCCCTCAGCTTCTCCTGACAACAATCTGTGAGATAGGCTTTATTAATCCCTTAATTAATACAGAAGATTACATTAATTAAGATGTAATTAAGAATATATTACATGTATTATAATTGTATTGTAATTACATGTAATGTAATTAAGAATACATTAATTAATACTTAATACAGAAGAGGAAATTGAGGTTCTTAGAGCTTTAGTGATTTGTTTAGAACCAGAGATCAGGCCACTGGCAGTGCTGTGCTTAACTGACTCAAGGTTCACACCATTTCCTCTGGACCACACAACCTTCAATGGATGCTTGCAGATCTGCACAATATTCATGATGGCTCTCTCTCAGAGCAAACCAGCCTGAATGTCATGTTCCTCAGAACCCCATGCCAGTGGGCCCCAAACCTCAAGATGGAAAATGACTAAGTATATTGGGATACTGGAACTTACTACACAAATCCTGTTGTGTTCAACATAGCCTGTTGGACCTCTCAACGTCATTGATCTCCACAGAGCACAGGGCTTTGTGGTCATATTTGCCACAGAGAGACCAAACTTTATGCTCACATAACCCTGTGGCCAAAATAGGTCTTCCCAGTGATGGGAAGAATTTGTAATAACTGCAACTCTAGGTTCTAAAGTTATTGGAAGCCTCTAATGAAATATATTTTGATTTTTCTGAGTATTTGTCAGCCTTCCGTGTTAGAAAACTTCCATTGGGGAGCTCCCTTTCATCACGTCACAGTGGAATGTAAGAGATGCCCTCATGTGTGTACTGACGAACAAGGTGAAGGAAGTAAGAGTCCATAAACATGCACTCTCAGTCATGTCTGAAATACCATGATCACTTCTTCTTGCTTAGCCACTTATTAACAAGCAAAGTTAATAAGCTTTTCAGGCAGTAAAGCCAGATGTGCTTTCTGGCATACCAGATAACTGCTTTATTGATATGTATTTGAACAGTTGGTGAATCTTAAACTAAAAAAAAATGTCTAGACCAACAACAGACTATTTAAATAGGCGTTCAGGTGCTGAGTCAGATTCCACATAATGCTCTCCAATTTGTATATACCCCAATCAAGAAGGGGGAAAAACCCCCTCTTTTTTAATTAATTGCCCTATGTTTATTTAGTCTTTGTTTTTAATACTAAGCAAGCAAACAATGGCCCTTGAAGTTAGAATTGCTATCACTGCTGTCATTTTTACTTAAAGAAAACCGGAAGATGAAATATTCTTAAAGATAGTGGACACCAAGGAAACAAGTGACACCATAGGTGCACAGGACAGCCAATGCTAAACAAGGATGCAGTGAACAAAACAGTCAATAATTTCTCCAGTGTGACAAGAACTTTCTCAAATAGGTTCATTCTTCCATGATGCCAGACCCTTTAGGTGATAAATAAAAAGGTTGATCCAGAAGTTGTTATTCAATTCTAGGTCCTCAGACGTATAACAACCAAATTAATAGACTTTTCATTTTACTGAATTTGTTTGCATTGTCATTGGACACAACAGTGAGACTTAAAATGTCTATTTGACTCTGTTTTTGTCACCTGAAAAATACCCAGAAACCTTTTTATTTTCTTAACAAAATGGCATGATATTATTTAGAAGTTGGAGGGAAAGCTTTTACTGCCCGGCCTTAAAAAGAAAACAGCACAACCCAGCCATGTAGCTGACAAGTGACACAAATACAGTACGTGCTAATGTGCAGAGAGAAACAACCTTGAGAATTTAAACTGGCTGCACCAGAAAAAATATCTTTATCCAGATATGTGGTCCCTCATGAATTATACTATTATTTTAGTTGATTTTACCTGACATCACCCTATGATTTTCTTCAGTGACAAGAAAATTGCAGCCGGCCCTTGACAGTCGGTCACAAATTGACTGAACAAAACAAAATCAAACAGTGAAGTAATCCCCAAGTAAATTTAATGAAACCTAAATCCCAAAGGGCAGTGCACTTCTGTAGGCAATGGTCTTATTTAATAAATTTTTCCCTGCTTTCACTTTTAGAGCTATATTTACACAGACAAATTTAATTCATTGGGTTTACATTTCCTCTTTCCCTTAGTTTGTCCACCAGGCACATATGGGAAGGACTGTAAACAGGTATGTCAGTGTTCAGCTGAGAATGAAGAGTGTCACCTAGTCACGGGGAGATGTACCTGTCTGCCCGGCTACCATGGAAACCGCTGTCATCTCCGTAAGTGTGGTCCATGCTTTTGTTGTAATTTATCGAAGAGACACCAGTAGGGTGGGTCATCTGTCAGAATGCTAAAGGGCAAATGTTAATTCAAGCTTCTAATTTATAGCAAGTCCTGAGAGAATGTTTATTGGAATGGTTGAAAACATACACTTTGTTGTGTAACCCTTTCTCCTATGTTGCCTTTTCTCTTCCAAATAACCCCAAGAAAAAGAAAATAAATAGAGAAAGAAAGAACAAAGATAATATGAACTGACTGGTATCAATCAATATACAGCCAATGGGAACATATTTAAAGTGATTCATAAAGTTAGTTCCAGGATCTGCTTAGGAGCAATCAAATTAAACAAATTGTTATTCTGGAATGAAAACAGTAACTTGTTTAAAGGACAAAATGCCAGTTGGCTCACTGCTGTTTAATAAAAAAGGATAGTCCCTAGACCAAACACCTTATATTGATTTGTTAGGACATTTTAACATCGAAAATGGTTAGAGGGGAACACACGATAAAACGTCCCAAGGAGCATGTTAAAATGTTCAGTCAGCTACTTAATTTTTAAGCTTGTAATTATTTATAATGTACTTTTTATAGGTTTAAAAATAAAATGATTTGGCCTCAGTTTCATTTTTCCCCCAACTTGGCCGCCACCACTCCTCCTTTCTCCCTCGTCGCTCCTGTAGCAGATCCCTTCCACTTTCCTCTCTTAATTCCACAAATGTATGGATGATTTTTGGATTCTATGCCCATATGTCACCTATAAAACAGACTTATGGTCAAGCTATTGATTTTAATTTTTGCAAGCCATAGAATGTATATTATGAATATCACTTCTTACTTTTGTCCTAATTTTAAATATTATCAGCTAAAAACACAAAATGGTTTCAATTAGTATTAGTGTACCATTATGGGTATACAAACTTAAACTGAAGAATTAAAATATAAAATTAGTAAAATTGCAATTATATTTTTGTTACGGCGAATTTTAAGCACCCTCGTAATGGAAGAAATTGTATATTGTAATAGAAGAACTGTATATTGATTGATACCAATCAGTTCATATTTATTTCCTCACTTTTAATTCCGTCACATTTCTCAGGAAGAATTTCTTCTTGATATCAAGTGATATTTTATCTTAATGTAATAAAAACAAGTGACATGGATGAGCACCTAGGTGGTTCAGTCAGCTAACCATGCGACTCTTGATTTCAACCTCGGTCATGAGCTCAGGGTCATAGAATCCAGCCGCCGGGGTGGGGCTCTGCGCTCAGTGGAGGTCTGCTTGAAATTCTCTCTCTCCCTCTCCCTCTGTTCCCTCTCACATGCTTGTTCTTTCTCTCTCTCAAATAAAAAAATAAATCTTTAAAATAAAACTAAAAACCAAGTTACAAAGAGCTGGTAGGGCTTGCACATCAGAAGGCAAGCTACCTTGGGCTGAAGGAGGGGAGCTCTACCTTGTAAAATCAAGGCTGCAGCAGTGAGCGACTCCCTGACTAGTCAGATTGGCTTAGCTCCAGGCAACACGTGGTTGGGAGTTGCAGCAAAGTTTCCTTGGCAACATCCACTGTCATTACAGAACTACGAAAAAGCGTTCAAGAAAATATCCATAAAAGGTGTGGCTGGCTCAAAAACAAAAGTTTCAGCAGCCAGAAACAACTGGGCTTTCATGTTCTCGAGTTTGGAGTGGAGATTCAAATTTTTCTCTCGGCAGAGGTCAGAGGAAGCAGATAAACTTGTAGTGGGATCTCACCACTTGTCCATAATTTATAATGGACAGTTTGGTCTCAGCCTTTGGAGGGCATGTGGGGAAAAACAAACTGCTCAGTAGATAGAGACTCATCATACTATGTATTTTATGACCAATGAGAAATTACAAAGTAACTCCATATCTTGGAAATCTTTTATTTCTCCAAATGGTAATACCCACTGTAATAACTCTCTTTGAGAACATTTAAGGTTTTGGGGTCCTCTAAAAAGCAAGGGCAGTTCTTTTGACAATTTTCATAGGAAAACCCTTGGTATAGAATGCTTGGAGAAGCACAGGCCATAGAATAGTACACCTGTGCCAGGAGGAAGACATCAAAACATTGGTAGAAGCTTGCCTTTAGTGCTCTTTCTTATAGTAGTAAGAATTCAGACAGACCAAATCTTAGCATCTCTTTTTAAGAATAAAATAAAACTGTGTGACAGTCGCTAGGATATGTGAGTGGCCTGGTCAAATACTTGGAAAAGAGTCTGGGAGAATGAATTTCTTTTTTTTTTTTAATTTTTTAAAAGATTTTATCCATTCATTTGACAGAGATCACAAGTAGGCAGAGAGGCAGGCAGAGAGAGAGGGAGAAGCAGGCTCCCCGCTGAGCAGAGAGCCCAACACGGGGCTCGATCCCAGGACTGTGAGATCATGACCTAAGCCGAAGGCAGTGGCTTAACCCACTGAGACACCCAGGTGCCCCGAGAACGAATTTTATTTAAGACAAGTGGAATCATTATGTCTCGAGCGTGTGTTCTCTTGTTGAATATAGGGAATGGTTGAGAAAGGATGTGCACATGATTCTAGAAGTCAAACTTTCACATTGCTACAGAATTATAAGAGAAAGTGGAATTGTCAGTAAATAACTTATTATTGGGGGAAAAGTTACGGGCACTTTTGTAAATATACACTGTACTCTTGATGTAAATTTAATAAGTGTTGAGGGTAAGAGGTTATACACACATTGTCTTTCAGCAGATGGCATACTTATTAGTAGATAAATTTCATCTATTCAGTGTCCCAATTTCAAAAGGATAATATAGTTGAAGCCTAATATTCATATAACTTTTGTTTTCTGTGTACAAAGAAGGAACAATGAAGGATGATTCTATCCAACATGAAACCACCACTATGATAGTTTGCAAAATGAGTATATGTCAAAGGGAAATTATGTCTCCCAAGTAATTTCACCTCACATGAAAGTGATCCCCCCAAAATATATGACACATAAATGAAAAAGATAATATATATATATATCAGTTATTTAAATTTATCAAGTAATTACACACAACCTTTTTTCATTTAAACTGAGATGCTAATTTTTTATATCTATGATTATATCCATAGTTTGATAATTTCCTCATTAATAAGTATATGAATTTCACATTATTAGGTGTTTCTCTTTTTCTTATTTGCACAGAAATTCATGGCAGTTTTCATTTCATAGCAATGTAACTACAGAATTTTCTGTATTAATCAACTCTTATTAATTTAACCTCCTTTGGGAAGCAACATTGCAGCAGTACACACAAGACTTCATTGTTTCAGACTCCATACCTCCTGCTTGCTTTATGTGTATTTTCTCTAATGTCAAGCAGACATTTGTCTTAAGCCTCACACATAGTAATGGGGATAAAAAAAATTATAAAAATTTGCATTCCACAATTCTGACCCAAATGGACATGAAAGCATTTTATATCTTGGTGAATAGGAGAAGAGGAAGAGATGGAGACTTTTTTAATCACTAATTTTGTTTTTAGGTATGCCTTATTGAATTTTTTGTGAAGGAAAAAAGAAGTTCTTAGGAGGACCAATGAATGTTATATACCAAAGAAGGGACAATGAGCTATGGGAACTGACATTCCCTGGGAAGAGAGAATGACAGAAGAGACTGTAAAGTGAAGCCATCATTTTTCATAGAGAGGAATAAAGAAATACAACAACTACAGCACAGAAATAACCTTTGGTATGAATAACTGTAGTGTTTGGCTTTCCATCTTCACTATGAAGAACTTTATTTTAAAACTGGGAGAAAGAAGCAGCCATTTTTTGGGTTTGAGACTCAAGGTGGGAACTCGGGAATTTAGGATAAGACATGTATGGGGATTATAAACAATCTGAATCTCAATAAGATCCATTATTTGCTGTTACCTCTAAAACATACTACCTGTGAAATACTCTTAAAAAGTGTTCCTTACTGTCTGATTCTTACATAAAAACACAAGATAAAAGGAAGAAAACTAGTACCATCTGGTATAGTTTGGTCACTTTTAGAGTTATATTTCCAAATGAAAAGATTTTCCAACAGGAAGGACCTAAGGCAAATGCCTAACACTTTGGCTCATATCAAGCAGGTAGGGAAAGGGTTTTGCTGCATGCCTAGCATTGATACTGCCATCATTAATGAAAATAATGGCCACCACTGACATGGGAGCTGAGTTTGGTGATGTCCTTGTTACCACCACAGGACCATGATTTTATTATTATCCTCTTTGGGAATTAAGAACCAGAAGTTCAAAGAAAGGAGTTAAAGCTACAATATTAATGTGAAGTATATAGATTTCAAATCACAGTCTTTTCAAAATTTCCTACAGCCCTCATATTTAAATATGTGGCAAGTATAAAGATGGTTATCTCTAACAGGTGACAGAATTTTGTGCTATATTCCAAGTCACTTCACTCTGTGGGCCTCAACTTCATCATCTTAAAATAAGAATTGAACCAGATGGACATGAGGTCTCTTGAAACTCAAACTTTTATAACTTTAAGACTTGAAAGTATCAGGCATTTCATAGAATAAGAGAATGTCACAGATGGAAGTGCTTCAAAGTTAATCAACTTGAATATCCTCTATATTTTCTCTCCTGTATACTTATCCTGTCTCTGAACTCCTACAGAGATGAGTAATCATGCCTCCTGAAAAAAGCTTATTCCAATCTTGGACAGCTCTTTCAGAAAGTATTTCTTTATTGAGATAAAATCTGCCTTTCTTCTTTTCCACAGGACTGCCTTTTCATGTTTGAAGACATTTCTGTCTTCCTAGCTCTCTTTTCTCCTGAATAAACACCCTCAGTCTTTCAATCATTGCACAGATAATGTGGTCTTCAGCTTGCTCTTTGTCTTGTTTCCTCTCCTTTTATCTTAAGTTATGGCTATTTATTTGTTTGTTACACAGGTATCATAGTAGACCATAAGTCTATGGATAGGAAAGTGAGAAAGTAACAGAAAATGAAGATTCTTTCTTGATGGTTCATGCCATTTTTGAATTCTTACTTGTATTAAAGCCAGATCATTCCAGACAAGATGAACTATGACACTTAAACATTAATCAAAATAATTAATTCATCTAGGCTGGAATGAAGTAACTTTGGCAAATTGTCACCTATTCTGAGCACTCTCTAAAAGTGGGCAGATTTCCAAAGAAACTCTAAGTTTCCTGTATCTTACTAATGAGCAGCATCAGGAACATTTTGCCCCCAACCATATTACTAAGGCATCTATCTATATCATCTCATCTCTTCAGATAAGTCCATGCCTTGAATCACTAGTTTGAAGGTAACTGAAAATACCAAAGAACAGTATTTGGAATGCGAGTTAGCAACATGTCTATGGGTATGAATTTAAACAGTGATGCTTTAAGTTACAATATCACATATGGTTTTGTTCTCCTTCAACAGGATGCCCAAAAGGCACTTAGGGTCTTAATTGCCAAAGGATATGCAAGTGCCTTAATGGCAGCAACTGTGACACTGTGATTGGCACCTGTTACTGTCCTCCTGGCTTCATTGGGGCTGACTGCAGTCAAAGTAAGTCACTCTACCAATTATGAAGTAGATATGCTAAAGTAGAGTTTTTAAGAACTGTACTTACAGAGTTCAATGTTGTTGCAATTATTACTTAATAATTTACTGCGGTAACAGCAAACACCAACCAACCTACATTCTAGGTGGAAGAGTGCTTACATGAGGAGTTTGACTGAGAGCTGAAGCAGTGAAGGCAGCCAAAGAGAGCCCTTTGGTCATAATCTCTCATATCCCAGCAAAGCTAACCTCAAGTCAGGATTAGAAAATCTGTTCCATAAGATAAGAGTGGTCTGGTACACAATGCCTGTGTACACAATGTCAAACTCATTGGTTCACGTCTCATAATTTCATTTATCCTCAGCAATATCCAGCTCAAAATTAGGTAGTTCCCCTACTTACCAAAAATTAACCGGTTCCCTAAAATTTAAAGACTTAACTACCCATCACAAAGACAACTATTTACATAAAGTTTAAGGGACAAGGTATAAACTAAAAATCCCTTAAGAATGCACTATCTTAGACACCATAGAGATATTCTTAGCAAATACATTTTGATCTTATCAGATTTGCCATTTTCTAAGTATCTGGGCAATTTGCAAGATCATAATTTTTAGGGAGGCTAGAGGAGCAATGCATAGGCGAGGACATGATGAGAAGGTAGTTCTGGCAATATTGTGTTCTTCAACCTATTTGTTGTCCTTGAGGGTGTTCACTTGTGATGTTTTACTGAGCTGCACATTTATGTTTTTTGTGTACTATTCTGTATTTTATACTTTAGAATTAAAAGAATAAAAGCCCTATCAATAGTTCTTTCATGAAAGAAGTGCTATAATTGCAAACTTAAGATTCTTTCATTTGGAAGAATGATAACAAAGTTGGTGGTCAGGCAGGGCACCAAGTTTCTATGTGGTAAAGACATCCAAATGTTTATTTTGCCCAGGCAGGTAGTTGCTCTGTCTTCTTTGTATGAGGGTAATTTTAATTATCCTACCTCAGAACCCTGATGTTCTGAAGACAAAAGAGTAGGACAATGTCCTGGCTCCATGTAGTGGAAAATTGAAACCTAGTGAATACTGCCTCTGAGGCCTCAGCAGCCAAGTTGTCTTTGAGTTAAAGCCAACCCATAAACATCTCCTAAGGAAGGTTCTAACTGACCCCTTTGTTCCTCAGAGAAAATCATTGAGAGAATTTCTTTATTTCCTCAGGCCAAAGCATCTTCAAGAGTTTTGATTTCTCTGAATATTGGGAGTATTTTTGTCTTCAGAAAGCTGTGATCTTATACCTGAGTACTTCTCCTTTGTTTTGACAGCCAGGTAGATCAGAGCCAATTTGCAGTCTACCTCTTACAAGTTCAAAGAATTGTGATATTCATTTATGTCTACATTGTAACTATATTTTTTCTTCACTTGATTCTCACAGGCATTTATTTTATCTTTGAGTGTTATCTGTATCTTGATAAGTATCTCAATGAATTTGTGGAATAAAGTTGCAAACAGATAAATTAATAAATGTGTTAATACATTAATTAATTAAAATATTACTTATATTAATTAATATAATTAATTTAAAAGGGTAATTTAACAAATTTGTTGATTTTAATAAATAAAGAATAAATTTAAAAATAAGTTAAATACATAAATGATATTTGGAGAAACGAGCTTAATGGATTCTGTGTTGGTGCATTGAAGTGTAAGTTGAAATTCTAGAGTGGACTTTAAGAGGAAACATACTCAAGATTATGACACACACATACAGGCAAACAAGCACACACACACACATATTTGCTAAGGCAGCAAGACTGAGTTTGTAAGAGTCATTTATATCATATATGTTAAGTGTTTGACACTAGATATTTGGTTGGAATTCCTGATGTCAACCAAAATTGCACTAAGTAAGCAACAATTTGAACAGTTCCTTTTTTTGTTTTGTTTTTTCAAAGTAACATTTTAAGTTGAAAACTAAAGTGAAGGCAAGACAAGGAAATCTATTTGATTAAAAGAAAGGGTCGTGTATTTACAAGGTTTTTAAAGTCTTGATTGGCAAAACATTTTAATAAGAAAAATCTGGCTTTGTTTTGCTCCTTTCTGCAGTTTGTCCTGTGGATCACTATGGGCAGGACTGTGTCCAGCAGTGTTCCTGTGGCTCAGGACAGTGTGACCCAGTGACTGGAGGGTGCCAATGTCCACCTGGCCAAATGGGAGCCAGGTATCAGCAAGGTAACAATTGCTGCAGGGTCACCTTGTCCGTCAAGGCACTAACTAAGCTACACTATGAAAGCAGGTTGGTGCCAGGGAATATAATAAAATGGGCATTGTTTATAACACTTTCTTCTTAAATGTGGCTTTAATAACATGAAAGTATATACTCTTGTAGAGTCATATAGGAAATAGCCTACTGGAGGGCAAACAAGAATTGAAAACAAAAACAAAGAATAATTTTTGTATACTCTTGAGTAGGAGCAAATTCTGAAATAACTTTGGCTAACTTTTGTCAAGCTGCCTAAAATTGTGTGTTATGGATGTCTAATTGTAAAAACTGAAAAGTTTTATATTTTCTTCAACTTTCAGAAGCCTAGTGAAAGCTGTAAGAAAAATGAGAGACAGAACGGAAAACATGATCTTTGTTTAAAACTATAAAACTTTCTTGTCCTTAATCATATTATTCATTATTTTCACAACAATAATCATAATAGAAGAGCTCTCAAGTTCAGTGAAATTACATATGGAGAACCGCTTCTCCATTGCACATACAGAAGGGCAAAACCTGTGACCCTTTGTAAAAAGAGAAGAGTTGGTTGCATGAGTATGCTGCAAGAGCTACCTTGAACCCCACTGGACATTGCAGAGTTGCAGAAAAAAAAAAACAGGATAAAACTAGGAAGTGCACAGAACCATCATATTTTCAACTCTGCGCTAGAATAGAGGGTTATCTGTAGGCAATAAGCAACCTTGCAGCCAAAGGGATCTAAGAAGCCCACATACAAACACACACCCAAAAATGTGTGTCATATGGAGTTTTACTCTAGCCCCAGGAGGCTTCCAACTAGCTGAAATAATTTTTCTAGCCCAGATCCATACTACTCTCCCCCAAAATAATGTGCACACAAAACTAACCCAATACAAGAAAATGAAAGCAAAAACAAAAACTCAATGCATAAAAAGACCCCCCAAAACCCCTCCTCTCATTTTGGAAACAATATATGAGATTATTCAAAGCTTTGGTTACCTTTTTAGTGCAAATTCTTTAAGAAGGGTGAAGGAGAAAAAGAATAAGAAAACAAAATGCAGATGGACATAAAGCAGAAAAGTTTTGCTAGGGAGCACATGGAAATATTAACCAGAATTTTTCCCAAGAATTCGAGGGACATAATGAAAAAGTGTTCTCTACAATTGTGAGTATGATGCTGAGATACAAGGGTTCATGGAATAAATGAAAAGACAACAAAGGGAAATGAAAAAGTAAGCTGGCAGAGCTCAGAAAGAAGTGGAAATGAAAATTAAAACCTCACATCATATAAATGAAGACCATATTGAACACAGGTAATAGAGGATTGAATCTGCTTAGGTGACAGCCAGGTAAATGGAGAATAAGCTTGAGGAAAGTAGAAACAAAGAAATGGAAAAAAATAGAGAGACAAATATATAAATGGAAAAGAAGATATTCAAGTATAATATTCAAGATTTTGTTTCTCTGAAATGAAAGAAGATCTGACGCTACAGACTGAATACATTCTATTCCCGGAAACTCTAGTGAAGACTGATCATAAGCAAGGGAAAGTCCACTGGGGATAAAAGAAAAAAAAATGGGAGATCTTATATGAAGAGAGGGGAAAATGAGTCTGGCCTCATGCCTCACAGCAATAATCAAAACCATTGCTAGCATGTGGTTAATCAATGCCTATGAAGTTTTTGGGAAAAAATATGACTCAAGTGTCTTATACACAGTTAAACTGTTATTCAAGTATAGTATGACTGAAAATAAATATTTTTTAAAGTCTTTTTTTTTAAAGAGTTTATTTATTTATTTGACAGACAGAGATCACAAGTAGGCAGAGAGGCAGGCAGAGAGTGAGAGGGAAACAGGCTCCCAGCTGAGCAGAGAGCCTGATGCAGGGCTCGATCCCAGGACCCTGAGATCACGTCCCAAGCCAAAGGCAGAGGTTTTAACCCACTAAGCCACCCAGGTGCCCCTGAAAATAAATATTTTTAATAATAAAAAGTTACTGAGGATATAATAGCCATAAAATATTTCTGAAGAAACTGTTGAAGATAAATTTGAGCAATCAAGTAATAAATGGAAAATCTCTAGTAAGAAGACTATTAGTAGATATTAAATCTATTTTTATTTGGGCTAAGTTTAAAACAAATGTGGGTGGGGGGCACCTGGGTGGCTCAGTGGGTTAAAACCTCTGCCTTTGGCTCAGGTCATGATCTCAGAGTCCTGGGATTGAGCCCCACATCAGGCTCTCTGCTCAGCAGGGAGCCTGCTTCCTCCTCTCTCTCTGCCTGCCTCTCTGCCTACTTGTAATCTCTGTCTGTCAAATAAATAAATAAAATCTTTTAAAAAATGTGGGAATTATGTCCACATGATATGGTAAATATATAAATATTTAATATTATACCAATTTTGACAGTTTATCAAAATGGGCATAAACTAAAAGGAAGGAAGATGGAGGATGTTGAGTATACTGATCTTATTTCTTCATTAGAAGTTGTGAATGGGAGGAACAGATCTGTGTCAAAAGGTATTGTTTAAATATGACAAGTCAATAAGCATGTTTAAGTGTATAAAGGTAAATGCTGGAATTTAAAATGCTAGAACTGGGGGTAGGAGCTTTTCTTTCCTTTAAAATTTTGGAATACAGTTTCTTCTAATAGACTAAAATATACCTTAAATCTAGTATATGGCTTTGTTCTAGTTTCCTGCCTGATTACATTCTCTCTCTTTTTTAAAATTTTTACATTTCATTTTTTTCTTTCCTTTTTCAACCAATTTCTTATTTTATCAATTCATTTAAAAATATTTTTAAATTTTCATCTCTACCATCACATTCCATCCCTTCATCATATTTACCCTTATTTTTTTTTTTGTGTGTGTGTGTGTATATATATATATATATATATATATATATATATATATATATATGTTTTTCTTTCTCTAAAATTTTGGCAGGCAGTTTCTTCTAAAAGACCAAAACACACCCAGAATCTAGTGTGTGGCTCTGTTCTAATCACCATCCTGCTCATATTCTTCTTTTCTTTTTTCCTTTCCCCCCCAGTTTTGGATCTCTTCTGATTTGTTTAGCATATAATTTTTCTGGGATCATTGTTACTCTTTTAGCATTTTGTTCTCTCATTCATCTAGTCTTCTCTGGACAAAATGACAAAATGGAAAAACGCACAAAAAAAGAAAGAAAGAAAGAAAGAAAGAAAGAAGACCCAAGAGACAGTACCACCTGCCAGGGACCTAATCAATATGGACATTAGTAAGATATCAGAACTAGAGTTCAGAATGACAATTATAAAGATAGTAGCTGGGCTTGAAAAAAGCATAGGAGTTAAAAGAGAATCCCTTTATGGAGAAATAAAAGAACTAAAATCTAACCAAGTTGAAATCAAAAAGGCTATTTATGAGGTGCAATAAAAAATGGAGGCTCTAACTGCTAGGGTAAATGAGGCAGAAGAGAGAATTAGTGATATAGAAGATCCAATGATGGAGAATAAAGAAGCTGAGAAAAAGAGAGATAAACAACTACTGAATCATGAGGGGAGAATTCCAGAGATAAGTGATACCATAAGATGAAACAATATTAGAATAATTGGGATCCTAGAAGAAGAAGAAAGAGAGGGGGGGGCAGAAAGTATACTGGAGCAAGTTATAATGGAGAACTTCCCGAATTTGGGGAAGGAGACAAGCATCAAAATCCAGGAGGCATGGAGAATCCCCCTCAAAATCAATAAAAAAAGGTCAACATCCTGTCATCTAATAGTAAAACTTACAAGTCTCAGAGACAAAGAGAAAACCCTAAAAGAAGCTCGGGAAAAGAGGTCTGTAACCTACAAAAATAGAAATATTAGATTGTCAGCAGACCTATCCACAGAGACCTGGCAGACCAGAAAGGACTGGCATGATATATTCAGAGCACTAAATGAGAAAAATATGCAGCCAAGAATACTATATCCAGGTAGACTGTCATTGAAAATAGAAGGAGAGATAAAAAAAAAAAAAATTCCAGGACAAACAAAAACTAAAAGAATTTGTGAACACCAAACCAAATATTGAAAGCCATCCTCTAAGCAAAGAGAGAGCCTTAAAGTTACAGACCAGAAAGGAACAGAGACAATATACAGTAACAATCACCTTACAGGCAACACAATGGCACTACATTCATATCTTTCAATAGTTACCCTGAATGTAAATGGGCTAAATGCCCCAATCAAAAGACACAGGGTATCAGATTGAATAAAAAAATAAGATCCATTGATATGCTATCTGCAAGAGACTTATTTTAGACCCAAAGACACCACCAGATTTAAAGTGAGGGGGTGGAAAACAATTTACCATGCTAATGGACATCAAAAGAAAGCTGGGATGACAATCCATATATCAAACAAATTAGATTTTAAACCAAAGACTATAATAAGAGATGAGGAAGAACACTATATCATACTTAAAGGGTCTATCGAAGCTCTAACAATTTTAAATATCTATGCCCCTAACATGGGAGCAGCCAATTATATAAGCCAATTAATAACAAAGTCAGAGAAACACATTGACAATAATATAATAATAGTAGGGGATTTTAACACCTCCCTCACTGAAATGGACAGATCATCTAAGTGAAAGATCAACAAGGAAATAAAAGGTTTAAATGACATGCTGGACCAGATGGACATCACAGATATATTCAGAACATTCCTCCCAATGCAACAGAATACACATTCTTCTCTAGTGCACATGGAACATTCTCCAGAATAGATCACATCCTCGGTCCTAAATCAGGTCTCAACCAGTACCAAAAGATTGGGATCATTCCCTGCATATTTTCAGACCACAGTGCTCTGAAGCTAGAACTCAATCACAAGAGAAAAGTTGGAAAGAACTCAAATACATGGAGGCTAATGAGCATCCTACTAAAGAATGAATGGGTTAACCAGGAAATTAAAGAATTTTAAAAATTCACAGAAACAAATAAAAATGAAAACACAACTGTTCA